TATTAATACTATATATATACATATATATATATATATATATATATATATATATACATATATATGTATATATGTATATACATTGTATATATATACATATATATATATATATATATATATTTAGGTCTAAGATAACTGATGGTGCCGAAGGTTTATTTCATTAATTTAGGTCTCGAATGAAAACATTTTGAGATATATCTGAAGCACAAGATCAATTTAAAACAAACAAGAGGACATATTAAATCCAGCTCAAAACTCAAAGTTATTTCCATCCGCCTTTTGTTTTCAACTGCCGAATCTTAATCTCAACAGGAACAATAAGCTTGATCAAGGATGTAAAGTAACTAAGTTATGCAGTGTATCATTTAATGTTACTTGCTGGATGAGGTAAGAAGATGAACTACCCTGTTCAGCACGATTGAATTCAGCACACTGGGTATATCAACTAATACACTTGATTGCTATGTTTACAGAAAACCTGAGGTTCATATAAGACTTAAAAGTTGTGGAAACCTCATTTGAATTCTCATTCGGCATAATGTTTATACTATCCTGACGCAGTTTCTTCGCATCTAATTCTTCAAGTTCTGCTGCTGGACTTCGATGTGTCGCTTCTTCCGACGGCATCAAATGATTTTTATTTCTTTATACAAATTTTTAGTGTAATCTGCAAAAGGAAACAAAGATATTGATCAATGTTGTTTAAAGTTATTCACTTAAGTCATTTCCTTAGTGTTCTGTAAATTTTCGTAAAATCTCGACAACATATTGATCTAAATGTGTGTACAGTTAGACTCACTGAAAGAGTAAATCTTGATTGTATCGTAACTTATTGAGTAATCAATTATAAGATTTGAAGTAGACACTTACGTTATTCGCACGTCACCCAAAATTCACAAACATCCCGTTCAAGTTATCAGCCGTAGTGCTGTGTCGGTACGAATTTTGCTTGGTTCGGACTGCCAACGCTAACAATGGGTACGTGATGGCATGGTCTTCTGCTTTCGTATTTTTGCTGAGTGTTCCACGCGCTGCAAATGATTTTCCCGTAACTTCTGTATTCTCGAGAATTCCCGGAAATTTTTGGGAACGTACGGCACATGATAAGTTGATTTATTCTGTCGATCTAGCCTTGAATTGTATGCATTTCAGGTTAATGTTAATTCGGCAAGATACTGCAGAAGTGGGATGATTGACAGATCGATGGTAAACACCATCCGGTTGCTTGAGAATCAAAAGGTTCTTCATTTCCTTCTCCACTAACTACCCTTTGACTGTTACCACTGAGATTGACAATCAGGTGTTTGGAAACTTTATGTCTTTCTCTTTGCACTTTACATTTTATCTCTTAATAAATGATACAAGCCCGAGGTTTTTTAAATAACTATAGAAATTTTACGATGGTTAAGATTGTTTATGCATTCCGATCATAAAATTAAACTAAAAGAATGGAAATATACCATCATATTTGTGGTCATTAGCCACTAAGTGGTTGTTTAAATTTTAATTTAAAAATTTTTTTAAATTAACTTTTTTAAATTTTTTTGAATTGAAATTGAATTATTTATTTGTTTAATCTCACTGTCCTCTGTGCTTCTTTCAGTTTTAGTTGGAATTAAATTTACAGTGAGTTTTACTTGTTCCTTATGCTTTTTGTTGCGACATTTCTATGTTGTTACGTCTTTTTGGCTGTTTATTATTTACCGTACTTCTATCAATGTATTGCAGCGTTATAATGCTGCTAAGAATGTTAGCTACCATTAGTTGGCTTCGTCTGAATTTCCACCTGTTTGAGTTGATTGACTGGACCGGTTAAACTTATTTGGGTTGACCGACTGAGTCATTATTAACAGATAACAGTGAATTGTTTTTAAACATATGCTGAAAATTGCTTACATCTTACTGGAAAAATTCATTTCAGATTGAACGTGAAATAGCCTTTCAAGAAGCTTTGGATGAGAGGAAAAGAGCATTCGAGGCAAGTCTACTGGTGATGTTGATGTGTAGTATCTCGTTGTTGAGAATAACAGACATTACTCACTTTTCTTTTAAAATCTCAGAATATTTGAAGGCCAATAATAATAATATGGCAATAAACAGTATTAGCATACATCATGGCATATATGTGTTTTTACTGATATGTGTTGACATAAAGTAGCATTTTTCCGTATTATTAGGAACATATGGAGTACATTTGTGAATTCATCATACAGCTCATTTTTTCTTGAGAAATTCAGGTAAATATTGGTTAAGCGAGTGATTCATATATAGATTCCCCAGAGCTAAGATACTTGTGAATTTATTAAACCCGTGGCAAATAATCATCTTGAGTACAAGCACCACTGTTAGCAGTTTGAGGTCTTGAAGGAGTGACCCTATTTTTCTCTGTAGTTTGACTTTTTCTTTGATTTTAAAATCATCGTTTTTCAGCTTGCCAGACTGCAGTACTCCTATCCTTACAAAGCTATTGGGAGTTTTGCAGTAACTCTTATTTCTGGCCTATCTGCCTATCGGCATAAAAATCTGCTTCACTTGATACCAGTAGCAGTAGCGCTTCCCTATATAGCTTATGAAACTGATGCTTCCCTTGGGCGAAGAACAAGAAGGATCAAAAGTGAATTTTCTCAATCGATTTTGTTCTTTGAAATGCTTTGCTCTGTACAGAAAGATTGGAAGACTGTTTAGGATTTATTACGGATTGAGAATGGAATGATATGTTGAAGTCTGAAAAAAGCTACAGTGATCACTCTGCATTAATTTGTCTTTTTATATGATTTATATGAAAGAATGTAACGGTAAATATAGATGCGATGCTAAATTTGCAATTTATTTTCAGGACGGGCTGATTTATTGTACCGAAAAAGATTGGCAGAACATGAGCCGCATGTTTTGGTAGCTGACGTAAAACAGCGTCTGAAGGAATTGCAAGAAAGAAGTGATGCGGAATAGGTCGATACTGTTTGCTATGTTACCTGACATTGAATTGGTTTTGTGTAGAATCAAAATGCTTCTATCGTGGTTTTTTCCGTATTTTTCCAAATTTTATGAAAATCTTTGGAAGATGTTTCACTTTTTCTGAATAGTCAATTCACCGAAAAGCGTTCCGGAATGTCCGCTAACTCTAAGCGGTTTTCACAAGTTCAAACTGCAACATATTTGATCTATCAAATCTTGATTAATTTTTGGATCGAAAACAGGTAGGAAACTCTGGAAGTGCTACAGAAACATTTTTACTTAATTTAATTGGAAAACATGCTTATCTTATTTCCCAATCCAAATCATTATGATTTTTCAAACTCTAATAAAACATTGGACTCGTTTTATCTGTCGTTCTACTAGTTGTCAAGCTTCATGGAATTATACTTGATTACTCGGTACTTCTGCGAGTTGAAATTTCATAGGCACGGAGAGCCAGATGTCTGAAATAGAAATTAAATTCCTTTAGATTCTTTTTTACTTTTGCCGACAATTCAACCAACTATGTTTTAAACAAATAGCGAACAGCTGGGTTCCCTTTCAGGTGCTACTGACGCTTGACCGTATTCTGTGTACGCTTGCAAAATTGTTGGGAAACATTCGTGCTGAATATTTGGATAATTGAGGTATTCTCATGTTTCTGTTTTGATAAAAAAGAAAAAGTTATTTTTGAGAAGGCATTTCGGTTTGCCATACAATCTGTTGTTTAGTGTTTTTCGAATGTAACGTTTTAAGACTTCTTATCCTTTCTGCAAATATAAGAGACATCATCTAACTAATCTATTCAATGCCGAATAAACAAACAAAAGGTTTAAGTTTGTGACAGTAATCTGTGGATTCTACCTAGCGATTACACTCGTGATGTTCTGTTCATGTTTTTAATGGGAACATCGTGGTCAAGTAATACGGAGTTACAAAATTATTATAACCAACAGGTGATACCTTATTGGAGTTCTAATATTTTAATATGTGAGTCGTTTGAACTAATTTCGGTATAGATGATTACTGTAATAACACATTGAAATCTTAAAGTTATCAAATTTTCGATCTCTATTTATATTTTTCTATGAAGTAAATTCTATTATAATTTTAGCAGGAATTATTCTTCAGGCAGTAGAGGAGGTAGCTCTGCAAAATGTTTTGTTCGAGCATAAAAGAGCCTTAGAGGTTTGTTTCGTGATATTTTTGTTCTTTACGGACCAGCTGATATGTATTGATGTTTTATATTTTCCAGTTTAATCACAATGAGGTAACAAGGAACGGTTGCGTTGGAGGGATGTCTATTGAATTATTTCCAGTATCGTCATATATGATTTTTTATGATGAATTTAGAAAAATGGAAAAAATGACTGTACTGTAGAGTTGTACATCCAATACTGTGAAATCTTGATATTGCCGAATGAGGGTGAAATTACTATATTTTAACAAATATCTCATTATTTGCAAGTAATGTGGCGTTGTATTTTGTAGTTACTATAGGCGAACAATTGTTTCAGTTAGCGAACACACGGAAACTGATTTCCAACGAGCATATGACTGCGTTGCTAACCGTCTCACTGATGTTAGTGAGTCAGAAAATGAAACAGCCGCATTTGTCCATTCTACCAGTTGTTCCACTCGTCGTTGCTCTTTTCCATAATTTTGACCAGCAACGGGATACAACGCTCGATACAATAAAAGGTTGCTTTTTGATTATATCAGGAATGTCTTATTGGTTGTTCATTTCTGGACACTGATAAACATTGCCGTATTTTGGAAATAGGCTAATATCGCCTGCTGTTTATTTTAATAAATGTTAATCTGTCTTTCGTTAAATTATCTCTGCAGTTAAATTATAAGTGGTTCGCGAACGATTTTTATGTGGAGTAGTTAATAGTTTATAAATTTTCCTTCATTAAGCAGTTATGGCTGTCGTATTAATTGCTTCAATTTACAATACTTTGAGAAACCAGTCCTTATTTTATATTTCAGTACGCCATGATTTCCATCCAAGACTTTGGAAGGCTTTTTCTGTTCTTAGATCGTTAAGCTGAGATAAATCAGATCAATTAATTTGAACTTTCAGAAAAAGCGGAAGAGTTACGTCAAAAAAATCGTCGTTTATTCGAACCCATTGGTGGTCCCATAACACTGGATGAGCTTGACAGACGTATTAATCGGGCAAAATATCACAATAAAAAGGAATTCGGTGAATCTAATTAATCTGTCCAGGAATGATAGTAGAATTTGGTCTTTACCGTTTTGAGAGTACTTCGAACTTTGCATGATTTTTATTTTGGAAATAAATAAGCTGCCGCCAGTCAAATAGATTACATATCTCTTTTTTATAGAGACATCGTCAACATTCTTATACACTCTTCTTATGGATATACCTGTTTGATTCCTCAAATTTTGTCCTCTTTTTGCGATGGTCTTCTGGTCTTTACTGCTTATTTTCTTTCGGTGCTGAGTCCTGGGAAATATTTTCATTACGCTCCAGTGAGCTGCAATGAAAAAAATGTAATTAATTCCTAGATTTTCTTCTCAAGAATGCAAATATAAATGTTCCTCTTTTATGGAGGCATAACAATTGGGAGAAATGCTCGAAAGTTATTGCAAGAAAATCTAGAAGTCAGTATTTTTGTAAGATGGATCGGTGTTAGTTTGAAGAATATCATTAAGATTGTTTCTGATTATTATAGCTATTTTCGATCCTTTTTTGCATTTTCCGATAGCTAGTTAAGCGAGGTCATCCTAATTTCATTAGCTTGGGTTTGTTTTTGTACCCGACATCCCGCCATGTTTCATATATATCCGATGCCACCAGTCCATGGATGCTTTCATTTTCGACACATCTGTCACTGCGGTTTCTACCTAATGCTGGACTGCTGAGTATAAGGTCCTGAAGCTTCTGCGAGAAGTGCACATTCCAGCTGATCGATACTTAGTCTTTCGATTTCTCCTGCGTCGAAATACACCTCAATTTTCCTTTTTATAATTTCCGAAAGCATTAATCGTGATAGAAATATCATTTGTCTCACATAGTACTGCTGAACTTAGAGGTATTTTCTTCTTTTTTTTTCTAATTTCAGCAAAATTTCATGTTAAAATAGGCAGTTGCTAACTTACTTTCTTTGGACAATTTGGTTCACTTCCTGTATCGTGATAAGTCTCCAAATATTGGTGGCACAAGGCTTGTTCTGCTGTTATTCTTTTCCAAGGTGCTATTATCAGTAGCTGGAATGATTAGAAAGATCGATGGAATTAATTGCGATAAGGAAAGGAAGGGTTCAACTTCCCTGTTGCATATTTTCGCAGCAATCTATACCTTCTTCAGCAGATCCACTGCTTGAGGATTTGCCTTCGGTATAATTGTAGTCCATGGAAGCGGATCTTTTGGTCCACAACTTTCAATCCAACTGAAGGATGGATTTGCTTTGAAAATTCATTGAAATACACTTTATCACGAAAATATTATACAATGCAAACTAACCGAATGATGATATTCGAGCTAATGCGTTCCATTACATCCTGCAATTTGTTTACGATCATGAAATAATGTGCATTATTAAATGTAGAATTTCACATCGTTATTAGCTAAGCAATAATTTTCCTTACATTTTTTTCTCTTTTTTTTTTACATTGACTCATTTTAACATACATATTAGCAAGTTTTCAAGCATTCATCATTTTATCAAATTGAAATTTGATTCCACATAGATTACTGAATAATAAATCTAAACCGATCAAATTATCGAAATCTGTTGAACTATTCGAAATACAAAGTCAAATTTCTCACTTTTTCCGGTGTGCCCAAATAGTAAATGATAATTTTGACTTGGCTTCCAGCATCTTTCCCTGGAAATAATTGCCGACGAAGAAGCATTTCAGCGAATATGCAACCCGCTGACCAAATATCCACCCTATACCAATTGATTATTAGCATATTATCCTTTTACAATTTCTTTTACAGCTTATTGTGAACTCATTTAAGAAGTATTAGTAATGGGATACTTGTTCTAACTACTTTATGTAAAGTCAAAATTTTAACTTACTGGGTATCATAATCAATAAGTGAGAAAAGCAACTCAGGAGCTCTATACCATCTTGTTGAGACGTATTGCTGAAAATAATTTAAATTAAAATTTGGTGAAAAGAAATGTAGAATTATTCCTTTATTACCACTCAGTGTCAACATAATACTGTAGATAAAAGTGTATGATTTAAATTGGCTAATATGTTTTAAAAATGATTACTCCAACATACGGTCATAAAATTGGGATTTAATAAAACGTTTTGATCATCCAATTGCTGTTCAGCTAATCGAGCCATCCCGAAATCGCCTATTTTCAGCAAGCAATCACTGTTGACCAGCAAATTTGATGGTTTTAAATCACGATGCATTATACCCACCGAATGCAAATACTATAAATTTTGCGAATTACGGTGGAAATTTTTCGCACTAAAATTGCATTTAATGGTAATTAATTTCAAATGTGAGATTAAAGTTATGTTCCTTTCGGCATAAGCCCTGAAATATCATCATGATAATGCACCATCCTTTCGTTCTCCTCATCGGTAAACCTAACAACGACAAATTAACCTTTAGACCGCGTAATATCTGGTACAAAAAATACTGATAATGTTGATTAGTAAGATCCTGTCGACTGTGTATTATTTGATGCAGGTCAGTTTCCATCAAATCAAGTACCATGTAAACATCCAGACCCTGTAATGGAAGCAACTCCAAAAATACTACCATCATATCATTTCTATTATTATCACTGTATTGTTAAACGTATAAATCTACAATTTTGAAATTTTAACTCTTCTGAAACAACCTATTCACCCTTTGTTCTGTGATCTGAATGTCATTTAACATAACAAGATGATAAATTTCGAATTTAAAGTATAAGTGTCAAAACGATTTCAGGTTTTCAGCATGCTAAATCACTAATGAATTTGAGCAAAACTCTAAAAAAAAAAAGAAGAGTATGAAAGTTTAACTTACGTATGTGATCCTGAAAGTTTGACTTACGTGTAATCCTGGAGCAATGAATACATCATGTACCGATACAATATTTTCATGATTTAAGCATCGTAGTATACGTATTTCACGTAGTGATCTTTTCAGAAGGACAGCTACTGAGAATGCTTTCATTATCTTCTTTATTGCTACTTTTTTACCATTTTGCTGAAAAATTATTGCATAACTGAAAAAAGCGCAATAAATGATAATATTCAGCTTATAGAAGATGAAGTAGAAGTTGAATTTTAAATGGGAGAAAAGAAAATGAAACAAATTTTACTTCTATCCTTATACATTTGCATTTAGTATGAGTAGAATCACACCTGATCATATGCTTTGCATACCACTCCATATGCCCCAGTACCAATATTTTCAATTGATTTGTACGGAGTATTGTCCAGATTGAATTTCACATCCAATAATTGCTCCATATACGCCATAGCCTAATTTCTAAATGGATTTAAAATATCTTATTGATCGAAAGTGAATACATGCATTGTTGATTAGTGTTTGAAACGATTCTTGATTGATATCCAAGCACGTTACATGACACGTAATCCTTACGTAGTTATTGGAAGATAGTGCTAATTCGATGTTAGGGAAGTAATTCAGAGGAAAAATTTACCGTGTAAGTGTAATTAATCAAAGACACAAGGATAAAGCTAGTTCTTATTAGTTCTCTTTCTTTTTTTTTTAATTAGATGATAAGACTAGCTGGAGTAATTTACATAGATTCCAAATTTTTTTTTCGATTTTGACAATCCTATCCGCTGTCAATGTTATGAGGGAAACATATGTGGAATGTGACGAAATGTAATATGCGACATTCGAATATACGATTATTTCATTTCTTGGCCCTTTTCTATTGAAGCAAACTTAGTTAATTCCGCTCTCTTTATTAAAAATCAAAAAAATGAGTTCAGATAATTGTATCTTTTTTTTCTTCTAAATAACAGGAGAAGACTGTGATTATCTAAAAATCTTATCACTTTTTACAATTATCACACAAAATGAAAAAGATGGAACGAATGCTGCAGCATACCATACAAATACATTACACTAACAACAACAATAACACATGAGCATGTACCATTTCAGAAGTTAAAAAAAGTATCACAGTAATGTCACCATGTTGATGTTGTCAAAGAATGTCCCTTAAAAGTACATCGTAAGAATTACTTTCGAGAATAACTATTCGGTTAGTAATTTAAGTGAAATTTCTGAAGAGGTATGTTGCGTATTTGTCATATGGCATATTCCGGAAGTTGCATTCCTGCAGTATCCAATTTTTCTCTCAAATGATGTGTCTGTATAATGATCGACAATTGCTTACCCTTTCCTTAATTTTAATACAACAAAGAAACTCTATGACAGATTAATACAAATAACATAATTAATCAATAATGGTTATGATGGATCATCATTATCACCTCATTGTTATCATAGAATGATTACAATAACGGATTATCTATTCCTACTTATGTTAACAATAATATTTTAAATTCTTATTTTGCATTATTAGTACTTTTCTTCTCCTACTTACTTTTTCCCTATGATAACAACAATAATTGTTTGATTATCACATTAAGCTTCAAATTTGGATATAAGTTTACGACTGTATTTCGGTGTAAATTATGTTCATTTAATTATGAATAGATTTAATTGTAAATGAAAAATTTATTTTAAGTTAAAATTCGTCACTAAAATAATCGTACTATAAGCAAGCTGAAGCTTAAAAATCAAGCAAACAGTTCATTTTGCATGAAATCAGCAGTAAATAACTCAAAAAAGTTGTTAGTAAGGAATTTGGTTTAATTAAGTAATTACATAATTGATTGATTAAGTGATTAGTTAGTGGATGAATATATCAAAAATTGGTGTTCATTAATTGTTACCATAATTTGGATGTTATCTCCCAATGACTGGCAGATATTTCGTTAATTTGGTTGGCAACAAGAAATTTATTTGCTAGAAATTCATTTGCTCAATTATGAAGATAAGGAAGCAACTTGTACTCTCAAGAAATATGTACTGAAATCTTACAGACTATTTCTCTTTCTATCATGACTTCTCGGGACTATCACAATTTATTTTGATATCATTATTAGCTGTAATTCTTGCATATAACAATTATCCAATATTTCATTCCATAATTAATTATCAATTTAGAATTCAAAGCTAATTGAACTTTGCAAAATTGTTACGTCACAATAACATTTTCTATCATTATTGATTTTTTTAATTAAATTTGAGAAAAAAAAAAAGATTTTCTACAATGACTTTACCAACAGAAGAACTGGAAAATGAGAAAACAGTTGCACAAAATCAAAAATCAATCATAATAACTGCAATTCCTTCCATGACACTTCGTAATTCATAAAACAAGAAATGAAAATCGAAAAAGAAAAAAACCACAGATTGTTCGGGTAAAAATTAATTTAAAATATCGAAAGTAAATTGAACATAAACAAACAAAATTGCAAAATGTTTTATAACTTCAAACGATATGCTATTCCAGGAATTTTAAAATATCGATTATTGGATGGCTATTAAGTTGTATTGGAAGGATATAAGAATGGATTAGTGAATCAGCAAATAAACCAGTCATTGATTAGGTATGAATTAATAACCATGGTAAGGAAAATATCCCGAAGAATATATCATTAGTATTCCGGTTTTGCTATAACATTGTAATAAAATCCGGAAGTTTTTGTAAACAACTTCAATTTTAGGAAAATTGGAAAAGGTCTGATTAATACTTTTTTCGATTCTACCTGAGAGTGAAGAATTCTTTGCTAATTATCCTATCAATCAATTCGATTTAAAAAGGACGAGTAATTTTACCTTTTTCCGGATAGTAATCAATGCAATAATTGAAACTTTTAGATGTTATATGTCAATTTCATTTAGAAAACATAAGGAATGATTTAAGAGGAGTAAATAAAAGCATTCAATCACAGCAAGCAATGTTTAATCTCTTGATCGAAGTTTCTCGATGAAATTTCTTAATCAGACATGCGGAAAACGACGTATTGAAGCCATACTGCTTTGTTTACTTATGGCAATTATCGATCAACAAATGATTAGTCTATATGAGGTAAAACTATCATATCAAATCTTTCATTTCTGGCACGAGTAAAAAATTAATATCTGTACTTTAAAATTCAATCATTAAAAGACAAAAGGTCACTTAAATGTTTTCAAGAAAACCCCGCACAATCGTGGTAAAAGTGAAAGCAATCGAAAATAAACTGAATCAGTGCATGCACAATGCACGTGTATTAGGCAATATTAGAGCCGGAAAAAGTTTTAACCGCTCATCAGTAAGGATTATGCAGTTTGGTCCACTGATAAATTGATTAACAAATGAATTTAACGGAATGAGATCGAATCTGGAAAAGACAGTTTTCTTCAGGAAAATTGTACACAGTTAAATCCGGCATGGAAATGTATGTACCATGAATGATGCAAGTACTGCAGTATGCAGTACTCCAATAACTACGACTATTTATTATTTTGTTTTTGATTATTTCATTCAAATAATAAATAATACTTGAAAGTTTCAAATTTTAAAATTTTGCGAAATATTAGGAAAAGGGTACAAAGATTTAAATTTGATTTCATATAAAAGGAAAGGACCATTTCTAAATTTATCTTGAACTTCTTTTTTTGAATTTTTATTTGATAAAAACTGTTATCACAGAGATTCTTTCAAATATGCAAATGATACAAACATGTATCATTTCAAATGCATTATGTTTCAAATCACATTCTGACATGCTTTTTCTATGGGAAAGGTTACGGAACTTTAAACGTATATTGGAATGTCAATGTTGTCAATGTTGTTTCCCTTCCGTTGTGATTACTCTTATCAGTTGAGAAATAAAACTAAAATTAGAAAATTGAATTAATTAAAAATAATTCTAGATATCAGTAGCATTTGTAAGAAAAAAGCATGCAAATTGTGTTTCTCCTCCTTAATAATTGTAAATCTAAATCTTTCGAAACTTTCTTAAAGTTTTAAAGGTTTAAAAGTCTAAAAAAGCTCTAAAAAAGTTTAAATTCGAATCTCAACCAAATTTTCTGCTAAAAATATGAGTAATAATGTTGATAAGATATGCTAAAATAGCACAGAAAAAATGAATTAATGCTTTAGAAAGCTACTATCTTTCTTTTCTTCCTTTTATATCACACTAACGTTCGTTGAAATATGAAAACTCTAATTTAGCAAGTGATAATATTTTTGAATTTTACCCTATCGCTTTATCTATCCCTTATCATTTCTCTAATATTTGATGAAATCAATAAAATGAATAATTAATCAATTGTTTGGTATTCTTCTAAATCTTCTTGGATCTTTTAGCAAATTTTGTTCATATATGAAGAACAGGGAAGAAATTATTTTAAACTTTTTATAAGACATTGAAAACTTCAAATATTTCACATCGCATACTTCAATCGATAGTTAATTTCTGCCAAGTTTGTTTATTGTTTGCTATTGCTAGCTATTTTCGTGCGTGCATGCAAAAGTGTTTGCTAATAGCGGGAAAGTGATAGATGTAATTGGCTTCAGATAAGTTTCCGATTGCTTTCAATAAAAAAAAAAAAGTGCAGCAATTCAATATTTGCTGTTGACATTTTAAGAATCATTCTAGTAATATTAATTCTTTAATCTTTGCTTTTCCCTTTTAAGTGAAAAACTTGGAAAAACAAATCTTCTTAGACTTTAGAAAGCATTAAATGAGCATAATAGTTCCCATCTTCTAAATAATCTTTGTACCGTATATTTCTGTCTTCTCTTATCTAACAAAATTGACTCGAAATTGTCGTTTAAATCAAACAATTTTTCCATAAATACATCATTTAATTACTAAAAAATGTATTAGCGAAAAGATATTAAACGAATTTGCTTTCATTACTAATCAAATTATACCTTTCATTAATTGCAACTTTAATCCTAACTAATGCAAAAGCTAATTGATAAATTAATGACATATATATATATGTATATTTCACTGGACTTATAATAGGGTTGAATGTAATAATTATTGAATTGAATTAAGTTGAATTTAATTGGATCAAGTTTATATGCTATCAAATAAGTTAAATTGATTTCATTTGAACTAAGTCGATACATATAGCAAGAATGTTATCATGTTGCAGTATAAATATTGCTATAGCAACCTGAAATGTCCATTCTTTACTTATCTTCATTTTACATAGATATGACAAGGGAGGAGGGAGAGAGAGGGGGGTGATAGAGAGAAATGAAAGAGATATTTGCTTAATTAAAGAAATGAAAACACCAAAAAGTGTGCGTCAATAGCGCACATAACTTATAATTTGATATTTTCCTTTTTTTTTCTTGCACTTTTTTTTTTCTTTTTTTTGCTTTAATTCGATCGTTTCACATTCAATTTAGTGTAATGTGAACTAAGTATAGGAATATAAATGACCAAATCCATTCATATTTTCAGATTCATTTATTAATTAAATTAATCAAATAATGCATTGAATGATAAATTATGGCAAAAAAATTGGAAATTAATAGCGCACTTGGTGATGGCCTAAGTCCGGTATCTTTTGGCTCCATCTTTTCTTTTTTTTTCACAAAGTGATGATTAGTGGTTATTTGTTTGTCCTATTTTCATACTTCCTTTATGAATAATATAAGTGATATAGCATATCGTATTGATCCCTTGCATCCTTTACATAACAGAAATATTTTCTTGGAAAAAATAATCTGGTAGAAAATAATTGCATACCGGATACGGTTCCCCTGGAAAGAGACTAAGCCAAGATGCTAAAGTAAATTGCAACATGCGAAAATATTTAATCAACAGAATATTTTAACTAGTCTCTTTAACATATGCGTTAATTAGATGACACATATTAATCTCGGGTTGGATCTCGAAAGTTCAATTTCGAGAGAAATTTCTTCCATTCATATTTAAAAATTGCTCAGATCGAGAGTGGAACAATTCAATGTTAAGTAACCTTCATAATAAACCTCATCGTTCAAAAATCCTTTCCTATCTCATAAGATAGTTTTAAAAATAAACTGTTAAAAGTTGCTAAGTAATAATATGCTATACCATTTCACATATTTCATATAAATACTTTGATATCAACGTTGTTGTTTTTTCTTTTCTTTGTTATTTGTAGAAGAAATTATTGTCTCATTTGGAGAATGACGAATGTGAACAATTTTTTAAATGTTGGAACGAACTATTTGTTGAAGAATGTAGCAAATCTGGAGAAATCATTTCACTAGAATTCAATATTCATTTGTACTTTGTGACACTTCCACTTCGTAAATCACCACCAGTTAGTTTATACTCTTATCATATTTATCCCATTTTTTTAATTTCATTTTTCTTTCCTGTTCTAAGAAAGAGAAGAAATATTTCATTGGTATTTTCAAAAAAGCTGAAATGGATATTTATCAACAAGAAAGAACATTGTGTGAATATTTGATGAAAGATGTGATGATGATTCCTGTGATCATTTCACGGCCCACAAAAGTATTAATAATAGGAAGAAAAAAAAGGGATGGAAATTATAAATCATCAAGAAGATAAATTTTAAAAAAAAGTGTAAAAGTTTGATTAAATTTTTCAGAATAAAGAAGAATATCAAAGGAGAATAGAAGGATTGAAGAGAATGTTGGAGGATAAAGGTGGCACTAAATACAGTAGTGACGTTCAGCTTGTTCAGTATTTTGCACTACCGTACGTTGCTGAACCTGAAAAACATCCTGTTTTTAAAGAACTTATTCAAGTAGGATTTAAAATTTCATTTGTTACCAGTCAGATTAATTCCAAAATAAATCAAAAATTAAATTTATAATTTAAATATTGTTTAAAGATTCAGTGTTGCATAGATTCTATTAATTTTAATGATTTAAAATGAAATTTGTTTGTTCACATTTAACGCTACACTTTTTCTTTTCACCTTTCTATTTATTATATATTTTCCTGTTTTGATTTTATTTTTGTTCAATTACAGAAGAAATGGGCCAAAAGTCTTTTTGAAAATTTAAGTGTATTTTTGGCAAATTATGCAATAAATATAAATGAAACTGAAAATGTTTTATTGGAAAAATGGATGGTTTGTTTGTTGAAACATTTCCTATTTTCATTTAATTTCCTTTTTGATTGTTTTTTTTTTCTCATAAAAATATTGAAATAATTCAGAATATATTATTGTTTATCTTTTCTTTTTTTTCTTAACATTTGTGTTTGAAAGCACAAAAATTTTAAATTTAATTTGACTCATTTTTAATATAATTACATTGTAATTGCTTCAATCAACCTAGCTATAATATAATTTAAATCAAATAAATATGTTATATTGTTTTTTTTTTTTTTTTTTTAGACAACTTATCGATTACAGTATAGCGAATTGTTGGAAAGAAAATGTCGCAAATTGCAATATGATTACAATCGGATTGTTGATATTGTCAATGAAATGTTTGATTATGTGGAGCAGTTAAATCAAGAAGTGGGAGTGCGTTATTTACCTGAATTGTTACCTTAAATATATCGAATTGTTAAGGATTGATGTTATACTTACATTTCTTGCATAATGTTGTAATCAGTCAAACTGATTTTGTTACAGGTAATTCAACTGTCACCTGAATATATTATGGAAATGAAGGCGCGTTTTGCAGATGTAACAGCGGATGCAGAGCAACATATGCAAGGAAGTGGAACAGTGGTAAAAGGAAATGGAATATTGGTATAATTAATTTGAATTTATTGGAGATTTTAATGATTTCAAATTGAAAAGTTTTTTGATAATTTTAGGATAAAAAGCGTGATAGACTTAAAAAATCGAATGCAAATATTAAAAAGAAGAATAAAGTGACGATGAAAAATGACGATTCAGTTGGACATTTGGCGCCAATTGTTCGGTCTCAATCACTTATCAAATTGTTTGTTTCTTTTTTTTCTTCTCTCTCTCTCTTTAGAAAGGTTCATTTTTTCAAAGCATGCAACACTGTCGTGAGAGAAAGTTGAAATAGAGGACAATTTTATCTTATAAAGAAAATTTTTTTCATTCACAGAAATATGCAAATTCATTTTTAGTTAACAAATAGAAGTTATAGCAAAGGCTTATAAAATGTCTTCACCTAATTTTTATAATGCTCATTTTCATATTTTGGTTCTTTTACATTTTATTGTAAATATATCATTAATTTATGTGATGTGAAATAATGCTTGACATCTGATCAAATGATAGCTTATCAGATCTTTCTGGTTGTAAAAATAAAAACAAAATCATTTTTTTTCACATTTAACAATATACTGGACATTGTATGTTTTATGTATTAACAATTAAATTGTTTATTTTAAATTGTTTAATTCAATTCAATTGAATTTCTGCTCAGAAAAATAAGCAAATAAGTAAGTGAGCGAATGAGTTAAGTTAAATGGAAACGAAATGAAAAGTTGCAAATACAGTAATAAATGCAGGAATGAGGCGAAGGAAGAGGAGGAAGTGATAATGGATGATATAACTGGAAGACTCAATTATACCAAAATTGGAAATTGTTTGATCAAAAGTGCTTCAGGAAGGCTTAGTTGTCTTTTACTGCAAGCTTTACGTCAGGTAAGCATATTTATAAAAAGCTAAAATTTTACTCTACGGTTAAATACAATTCAAAACTAGCATTTCTCATATTATTAAGGCATTATAATTGCAATCTTACCACAGTTAAGTAAGCATTCGTTGGAATTTCTCAACATATATATGAGGCTCATAATTTAAAAAATAAAAAAAAAAAGAGTAAATAAGTCAAGTTGAACTCTGTTCTGTGTTTTGATAAACAAGCTTTAGCTCATGATTAAGATTTTTTTGTGAGTGATTAAGACTTATAATAATGATAGTGATTGAGGCTTATCGAACATATTAAACTATGAATTTTCAAAAATAATTAAAATTTGTACCAAATATTTTCCCTAGATTTAAGCATCTCTTAAGGCAACTTAGTTATTGTCGTCATAATTTTTGTGTCATATTTGGATTGTGCTGATGAATTAATTATGACAGAATAATTTCTCTGTTCTCTTTTAAATTATTTCACTTTTCTTTTTCCAGCGCATAACACGAATACCAATTGAAAGTGCTGAACAAGTATTGGCGGTTTATGCAGCCAATGATTTGTTGTTATTGAAACATTTGAAAAATGTAAAAATTTAAGATTTTCCAAAAATTTTCAACATTCGTTAAATTTTAATGAAGTAAATTTAAGGAAAGGGAAAAAAAAGAAACTACGACTTGGTTAAGTGATGAGTATCTCATGTAGTGAGAAGTTTTTCTTTAATAACTAAGAAATTATCCTTTAGTTTTTTATAAAATTTGTTAATAAAATATTTTGTCATATTTGAATAGCTAATATTTCGTAGACTGGAATAAATTAGATTGGGGTAAAGATTGGAGTAAATTTAAATTCTATGCTTATGGCAAATTTCAATGTTGTGATTCTTTTCCGTAGATTGATAGGTTGTATGATAATGATCATTTACAGAGTGTAGTAAGTGTGATTACATCACAAGGTGATAATGGAAATGATACGAAAGAAGAATTGTGCCGCTTACTGAATTCAATTGCATCATTTAATCTTGGCCGAAATTATCTCCTGACTAATAATCAGGGAAAAGAATTAATTGCAACATTAACAACGGCTTTAAAGGCCAAAAAATTACATCATTTTGCTGGTGAACAAGTTCTGGCTGCACTTCAAAAGCTTAGTATAAGGTTTTTAATTAAATTGGTAGGAAAAAGAACTAGCTAATCAAAAGTACTGTCCAATAAAAGCTAAAATTTGGCATGATTTCTAGAAATATATTTTCCGGTAAATTTCTACGTAATACTCTTTTCATATTTGAATAAATTCAAATACGGAAAGTTTTGAGTAATGAAATAACAATAAAAATAAAGCAATTATGGGATTTTAAAGAAATTCCTGAACATTTTTCAAAAGATATCCAAGTTATGTTTTAAGCATTTCAACAATTTAGCAAATCATCCCAATATAAAACTAGCAAAAGAAAAAAACTTTTGCAGTTGCATCTTCTATTATTTGGAAAATAATAACAATCTCATGATTCTACATGAACATTTCAGATCATCAGTCCAAAAGGAACTCATAAAACTAGGTATGGTTGAATGGTTGTCAATATATCTTGGTGGTAAATTAAGTCCAACAGCGCTTGATTATGGCTGTGCACTATTGTTAAATTTATGCTTAGATCCATCTGGCAGATCAGCAGCTTCAAGAGTAGCCGCAATTTTTACGACAACAATAGCAAATTTGATATCTGATCATAAATTACAGGTAATATAGTTACAGAAAATCTTATCAATCTTATCACATTTCAGTTATATCCGTGAAATATCGGTCAATACTAAGAATTATTTATGCGCCATTTGCTTAATTCTCCATATGTCAAAAATTAATACTCGCGATCGAACATTTTTCTTATCAAAATTTCACAAAATGTCATAGAATTAAAACATTTCGAAATTAATACACGACGATAGAACTTCTCCATCAATGTCGTTTATCATCCTCTCATTTTCTCATTCTGATACGGTGTGATGAACGCTTTGGGACAGAGACAATGGAAGGGACAATGATGGATAGAACGTAAAAGAGAACTATTGAAAAGACACTTACAAATCGATTCAAATAAGAAAGGGAGAAAAAAAGAATATAATTAAAATTAAACGATTAAATGATAAATTAAATTTGGTATCCAAGTATAAGCGTCTAATTGTCCTCCCTGCTCAATTTTGGTCTTGAACATGTGTAACGCTTATTAGGCATGCAGAATATACTAATGTAAATAATTAAATTTCTTAGTAAGAAAGTCAAGATAAAATTATTTGAAAATTAGGTAGTGCCATATGCAAAATTTAATTACTAAACCATAGACATATACGAAAATTTCTATCCAAAACTTCCAAAAGTAAATTTTTACATTTTTTTTTAACCACAAAATTGGATAATTTTTTACTATTCAATTTTGCATATGTTATATGCAAAATTGAATAGTAAAACATAAATGAGCATACGACATATGAAAATTTCAACTGCCAACTAAATTTTTCCTTTTACCGTTGATGGATTTAGGTATGCACATACATTAACGGTATACTGTTCACAATACTCGGTACAGCACAAATAAAAGCACGAGTGAAAGAGATCAATTTGGTTAATACTGTCAAGGAGAAATTGAACAACCATCATTGCAAGGATGACGAGAATCAGCTACCCATTATTTACAAAATTCTTAACGGCGGTAAGAGTTAAAATTATTTCTGAAATGAAAAAATTCAATGTTAACAATGAAATGTTTCATCCATCCTCGGCATTCTTTAAAATCCTGAATATCCTCTTTTCCTATGCTACATATGCGTCGAAATAGTCTGATAGGATGAACTAGTTGTGTTTTGGTCTGCAATTTGCAAGTAGCATGTTTTGTTCTGCAAAATTATTTACTGTAATATGGTGTCACGTGTGACTATTTTGTTAAATTGATACAAAAGAATAGGCAAGACAATTTGTCCGGATGATGAATTCTTCCAAACTTTTATCATCGTTAATCCTATTTGAGACTAATCATCTCAATTCGATCTCTACCAATTAACTCAGAGCACAATTTACATCGCTAATACTCCGTGTGAACTTCGAAATATAGGGCATTTAAAAATTATGACAAGTTCTTCGGCCCACTAGTAGTTTCCTTATCTGATTGGAAGTTAATTAGATGCATCTTTCTGGACAGTTCGAAGCTTCTGAGCTTGCGGATTCAGTATGGTCGATGAATTCGAATCATCTAATGTAAGCGACGAAAACTTTTCCAATATCTTTGTAAGCTGACACATCTACAGCATAGCATACACGTGAACATCTTATACCTTATTACTTGTCATCGAACAGTAGTTTTGGAGTACAACAAGGGACAACGTACTTGTTCAAATCGGAATTACACATTCGTACCGGAAGGACATGCAATTTCACTTTTTATTTTCAATTAGATTATTTAAATTGAAGCTTGAATCTTATCACTCTTCCCGGCAACTATAAATGTTAGTGGGAAACAATTGGGTTTCCTCTGACCATAATGTCAATAATGTTCATTATCATTTGTTTGATTATCAGCTCATCACGTGACGAAGTTTCATTTAGCATTTTCAATAGACTCCGCTAAAGCCTTTAAAGCTCTGCACTTCTTCAATTCACAACAATTGTAACGAAACAGGGGAAACGATGATAACACATTAAAATGGAAATCAAGATCAGTCAAGTTAGTTAAATAAGCAAGTTCCGTGTCACCCTTCTTTATCCCTCTCAGATATGATACCAGTTATGATTGTTGAATTTCTCATCTCAAACGACAGAAACAATGAAATCAGGAAGATAATGGATGCCTCCTCCGTACAAACAAATGTCATCTGAATGTTCCGTCTTTACTAAGACGTCAAGGGTGAATGAATGTGATATGTCTCAGAGACCGCATAGCGTGACCGTTCGTCTACGAGAGTGATTAGTGGTGCGCACACAGACAGACATATACACACACATACACCACTTGCTGTTACTTTCAATTTTCCTTGTAGAATTGGACCAAGCGAACTTCTGTTTGTTCGAATTTTTCATTGGGAAGTGTGAAATTCATGAAGCCATTAGAATATCAGCAGCTACAGGAATGATACCAATGGTACCAGTGGCACTCTTAGCATTTACAGAGGAGAACAAGGAGGAGTTGAAGAGCCCTTAAGAGATGGTTAAAGAGGGTGAAGAAGGACACCATAGGTTCCCAATCGCTTCCCATCCGTCTATCTATCGTCTTCCTAACCGGGAAAAGGATGAAGATGGTTGTTTCTTTGACAGAATTAAGGGACGGGAAGAATAAACAGTGAGAAGTTCCAAATATCCGAGGAACATGGACGTTTTTTGATCAAAGATACCTTTACCCTCGTGATGATTTTCACGCTGTCACTGTCACCATCAGGGATATATGTGTATATTGGTGAAGAAGTCCCCCTATCCTTCCACACTTCTTCTGCCATGTATTTTAATATTGCCATAGCCAAGCAGTGATCGAACTATGTGCTTCACTATTTCTAGAGAGATGGAAGATTGAAAGATAGATTGAGTAGGGCAAATAGGTGGGTGGGTAAGTAGGCGAATGGGCGGGTAGGTAGGTAGGTAGGTGGATGGGTAAGACTTATAGCAATAATATACATGACAGCATATGAGAGAGAGAGAGAGAGAGAAGGAGAGGGACGAGAACTTTTCTTCTTCAGAAAAAAATCCAAACACCATGATTTTCAATCAAGGAAAAAGAGAGAGAGTGTGTCGGCGGTGCAGATGGCGCTATCAGTAATGCTGTTCGATCGTCGGCTGGTTGCTTTGAACAGCGTTCCGCAGGAGGACGAGGAGGAGGAGGAGGAGGAGGAACGATGTGCTTTGGCTCTCCGTGGCCGATCCCATCTCGGCGACAGCCACTGCCAGCTGTCTTTTCCTCACCTTCCCCCTTCACTTCTGTTCTTACCCCGACACCGCCGTTCTTTACCCTCTGCTTCGACACACACACACACACATACACACACACCCACACACACACATACACATTGCATGTGCAAATATTTATTTCATTATGGATGAGAACCGTAGGATAGCTACCCCATTGGAATCTTTCTCCTTTCCGAGGGAAATTGCTGTCCTTTTTTTTCATTCTTACCCAAATCTCTTTGGGTTGATTGAATCAGCAAGATTCTTCCTTTGGGATTGATGACAATCGGTAGAGTTTATCCATTCCAAAATATGGATGAAGAATACTTCTCTCTCTCTCTC